GCTGAGGGAGGCTAAATTTGCTGGAGCCCCAGGTAGTTCCCTTTAAAGGTGGATGAATGAAAAGGGTGAAGGGATTAAGAAATACAAAGTGGCCCTGGCCAGTTTTGCTTAGTGGTTAGAGCATCGGCCTGCAGACCAGAGAGTCCTGGGTTCAGTTCCCACTAGGGGCGTGTGCCTCAGCTGTAGTTTGTCCCCGCCCCGGTTGGGGTCGTGTGGGTGGCAGCCACTCGATGTGTCACATCAATGTTTTTCTCTCTCTTCCTCCCTCTCTCCCTCCTGCCTTATCTGAAGATAAAATGCAAAAATGTTCTCGGGTGAGGATAAAAAAAAATAAAGTACAAAGTGGCTGTTTAACTGACAAACCTCAAAGGGAAGGGGGGAGGGTGGGTAGAAAGAAATAAACCAAAGAACTTATATGCATATATGCATAACCAATGGACACAGACAATAAATAGTGTGGGAATGGCAAGAGAGAGGCGGGTACGGGGAGGAGGAAGTTAATAGGGGAAAAAGGAGGGACATCTGTAATACATTCAACAATAAAGATAAGTTGCCTGGCTGGTGTGGCTCAGTGGTTGAGTGTGGACCCATGCACCAAGAGATCAATGGTTCGATTCCCAGTCAGGGTACATGACCAGGTTGTGGGCCCGATCCCCAGTGGGGGGCATGCAGGATGTTCTCTCTCATCGATGTTTCTATGTCTCTCTCCCTCTCCCTTCCACTCGCCCTAAAATCAAAAAAACAAACAAACAAAAAAATAAAGTTTAAAAAAGGGGGGGGGGGCTTCCTAGACAAGAAAAAGCTGAAGGAGTTCATCACCACCAAACCAGGGATAGAAAGACATTTTTCATGAAAATGAAAAAACAAGTAAAAGCTGTAGTACCAATACTTACTATCAGACAAAATAGACTTTAAAACAAAGGCTATAACAAGAGACAAAGAAAGACCCTCAATTCCACTTCCTGTTATTTATCTTAAGATTATTTAACACGAAATCAGAAAGATATATGCATCCCCGTGTTCACTGCAGCATCATTTACAATAGCCAAGATACAGAAGTCACCTAAGTGTCTATCAATAAATGAATGGTTAAAATGTGGTACTATATACAATGGAATATTACTCAGCCATATCACAAGAATGAAATCTTGCCATATGTGACAACATGAATGGACCTACAGGGTATCCCACTAAGTGAAAAAAGTCAGACATAGAAAGACAAATGCCAGATTATTTCACTTATATGTGGAATCTAAAAAAAATCGAACAAATAAAACAGAAACAAACTCATAGTTACAGATATGGGTAGGGGGTTTGGGGAATAGGTGGAAAAAAAAGATTAAGAGGTACAAATTGCCAGTTATAAAAAAAGTCACAGGGACATAAAATACAGTATAGTCAATAATACTGTAATAACTATGTATTGTGTCAGACGGAAACTAGCCTTATCAGGGCAATCACTATAAGTTATACAAACATCTAATCTCTATGTTGTACACCTGAAACTAAGGTAATATTTTATGTTAATTGTAATACTTAAAATTTTTAAAAATATTTTTTTAAAAAAGGATCTAATTAAAAAGGATCTAGGGTAATTATTCTTTCATTTTATTTTATGTTTTGTACTTTATCGATTTTAGAGAGGGAGAGATAGAAACATCGATAAATGAGAACATCGACTGGCCACCTTCTGAATGCCCCCTACTGGGGATTTAACCCACAACCTGGGCATGTGCCCTGACCAGGAATCGAACCTGTGACCTCTTGGTGCATGGGCAGATGCTCAACCACTGAGCCACACTGGTCAGACTTATATTTTTTAACATTATAGTTTTTCCAAATATAAAGTAAATTTTTGTTATTGTTAATCCTTACCTAAGGATATTTTTCCACTGATTTTTAGATAGAGTGGAAGGAAGGGAAGGAGATGGAGAGGGAGAGAGAACCATGGATTTGAGAGACACATCAATTGGTTGCCTCCCACATTATCTGGACAGGGGCCAGAGATCAAACCTGCAACCCAGGTACTACTCTTGTTTTGTTTTACTTTTTAATCCTCACCCGAGGACACTTTTGCATTCATCTTCAGATAGAGCAAGAGGGAGAGAGAGAGAGAGAGAGAGAAACAATGATGTGAGAGAGATATATCGAATGGTTGCCAACCACACAAACCCAACTGGGGCGGGGGACAAATTGCAACCGAGGTACATGCCCTTAGCGGGAACTGAACCCAGGTCTCTCTGATCTGTGGGCTGAAGCTCTAACCACTGAGCCAAACCAGCCAGGGCCAGGCACATGCTCTTGACTGGGAATAGAACTCATGACCTTTCAGTCCTCAGGCCTATACTCTAATCGCTGAGGCCAAACTGGCCAGGGCTAGAAAGTAAATTTTTTAACTAAATATGAATTTACTTAAAATGTCATTAATGCTCATAAGAAAAACTTCAATTATTTCAAAAGGCAGAAAATGGCAAATAAAGGTCTCTATTCATAATCCTCAGAAACTAACTAATGGTATATGTATAATTTATTTAGCCAGTCCCTTACTGGGAACTAGATTATTTCAATACTGTTATTCCTGGTCCTGTGCTATTAAAATTAAGTTGCAATAAATATCCTCAGATTTATGTTTATGCTTGTACATATTTTACTACTGAGTATTATAAACTTTTAAGTCTCTGCTATTCTGACAGGTGAAAAGTAGTAACTGATTGCTGGTTTAAATTATATTCCCTAATTTAAAGAAAAATTGAGGATCTTTGAATATTACCTACTTTTCTCTTTTTCTTTGACCTGTGAATGTATGGTCTTTACCAGTTTTTCACAGATTGTGTCTCCTTTTCTTTTTGATTAACAGGAAGTGTTTTACTTCAAGCTAAATAAAATAATTAATTTTAGTTTCCTGTGAATTAGAAATAATCTAAAACTTAAGAGTTACATTCATTTTTAACACCTTTTTACCATATTCTGATCCAAATTGAGGTTTTAAAAAATCTCAATATTTAACTACATGGAGGGGCCTGGAAAGTATCATCCTAAGTGAAACAAGCCAAACAGAGAAAGACAAGTTTCATATGATCTCACTTATTTGTGGAATATAATGAACATAACAGTCTGAGGAATGGGGTAGTCCCAGAGACGCTAACAATCCCCTAAAGAGGGGAGTGGTGGGGAAGAGATAAACCACAGAACTTATATGCATGTATGCATGAACAGTGGACATGGACAACAAACTGGGGAAAGGGCAGGGAGGGAGGGGAATGGGGGTATCAGTGGGGGGAAAAGGAGAAACATCTGTAACAAAAATTAATTAATTAAAAAAAAAATCACCTTTAACCATACAGTGAATTCCAAGGAAACCCTAAGCTATGTTTTGGGAGAATTTCAAGAACACAGGTAAAAATTATGGTAATGCAAAACATTAAATGCAACCTTTTCCTTAAATTTTGGAGATGGGCAATACTGGAAAGACAAATAACCTGTTTTCAGAAATATCACCAGACTGGCAATTATTATTAAAAGAGAAAAATCTTAACTGCTGCAATAATTGAAAAATTGTTTCATCTGGCTTTCAAGTCAATGTACATTATTGACCATGCTACAAAAGATTCCAGCTGGGCCCAAATAAAAATTCAAGATTGACAGGATACAATCACTAAACTCAAATTTTAATTTATCTAAAGTAATCACGTAAGCTGCAAAGCCAGTGCACTCTGCATACTCATTCTTCTAGAATAACAGCATGTTAAATTTTCTGTAGCACTGTCTACCTTGAATTTCTGTTAGTAACAGCTTCTACATTCTTCTACTATATCAATCCCATCTACCCTACTGTCTAGACAGCCTTCTGCCAAAGTCTGTAAACTACCTCAACATCTGCCTCACTCCTGTGCTAAGTGAAATGTTCTGAAATGTTAATATAAAACACCTTATATGTATACTATATATCTCTGTAATTATATATACCCATATCATCTCACAACAATAATACTAATAGCTGACTTGCATTGAGTTATTTTTTACATTGCAGGCATTGTGCTAAACACATTTTTATTAAAAGCAATATTTCAAGGTAAAAAAAAATCTCAATATTTCGAATATACAACTTATCTTTGGAATATTTAAAAATTAATTATTCCAGTGTACCTCACCACTTCACCTTTTGACAGTTGCAGTTTCACCCTATCTCGGCTTTTTCAAATACAGTCGGCCCTCGTTTATCGTGGTTAATCAGTTCCAGTCTACGGCAATAAATGAATTTCCGCGGAGTACTATTTGAAGAAACCGCGACAGAGTGAAGCCGCAACAGTCGAGAAGTGGCGAGGACAACTGTATAGTAAATAAAGAATCCTACCTTCGGGGAAATTCATTTATCGCGGTAGAGTCTGGAACTGATTAACTACAATAAACGAGGGCCAACTGTAGTACTAGAATATGGGTGTGGCCAATTTGCCAAGAAGCAATCAGGCAAAATGCCAAAGGGAACTGCCAGGCTCTCTAGTCTTGTTAGCCAGTTCTCTGGCCACCTGATCTCAGCATCCCCACTCTGCCCTGAAAAAAGGCTAGACACCATCTAAAGCGTGTCCATACTCTCAAAACATACATGTCAGAGAGGAGAGGAGAGAAGAGCTTTCAAAGGGTCTCTGGTTATCACACAGATTATATGAAGAGAAATGGAAGAAGTTAACCAAAGATTAACAAAGGCTTTATATCCAATATAAAGCAAGGAAGATAATTTGCCTGAAAAGAACTGGCGTGAGCCATTTCATTAAAAATTTTTCCTTCACAGAATATATAACATTAAAATTAACTTTACTTTTATCCTAAATATACAAAGGTGCAAAACATAATAATTTCTATAACTCATTACGTAACACAGCAACAGAAGAAACTAAAATAGCATTTCATTTCCAAAAGAAGTCAAAAGATACGTTTAGCTATCTTTTAGACAATCACAAAAACTGCGTGGTCAAGTATCTGCTCAACCTCACACCACTTGCCTGTGTTAAGATGTAACTCCTTTGCGCTTCTTCTATGTCAACTAAGCTGGCATTAATATAATCATTTTCAGTATTTTGCAGTGTAACACGACTGTGATCATCTGAAAAAGAGAATAATAAGCCGTAACTGTCATTTTCAACTTGTTGTTTCTTTTTTAATTTTAATTTATAAAATGAAAGAAGAGAACCTAAAGAGTCCACCAAAACAACAAAAACAAAAACCTATTAGAACTGATAAATGAATTCAGTAAAGGAGCAGGATACAAAATAAATATTCAGAAATTGGTTGCATTTTTTAATTTTATTTTACGTGATTTTTTCCTTAATTCTCACCCGAGGACATTTATTTTTCCATTGATTTTTAGATAAGAGTGGAAAGGCAGGAGAGAGAGAAAGATCAATGTGTGAGAAACACATCAGTTGGTTGCCTCCGGCATGATCCCGACCTACCTACAGAGGCCAGGGGTTGAACCAGCAACCCAGGTACGTGCCCTTGACTGGGAATCAAACCTGTGACCCTTTGGTTCATGGGCTGACTAACCACAGAGCCAAACCAACCAGGGCTAGTGGTTACTTTTTATATACCAATAATGAACTATCAGAAAGGAAAACTAAGCAAACAATCCCATTTACAAATGCATGAAAAAAATACCTATGAATAAATTTAACCAAGGAGGTAAAAGCCCTGTACTCAATAAATTATAAGAAACTAAAGAAGATACAAATAAATGAAAGCATATACCGTGTTCACAGATATGAAGAATTAACATTATTAAAATGTCCATACTACCCAAGCAATCTATAGATTCAATGCAATTCCTATCAAAATACCAACGTTGTATTTCAATAACCAGAACAAATAATCCTAAAATTTATATGGAGCCACAAAAGACCCCTAATAGCCACAGCAATCTTGAAAAAGAAAAATGCAGTTGGGCCCTGGCCGGTTTGGCTCAGCGGTTAGAGGGTCAGTCCGCGGACCAGAGAGTCCCGGGTTCAGTTTCCACTAAGGACACGTACCTTGGTTGCAGTTTGCCCCCGCCCCGGTTGGGGTTGTGTAAGTGGCAGCCACTCAATGTGTCTCTCTCACATCAATGTTTCTCTCTCTCCCTACCGTTCTATCTGAAAATATATGCAAAAATGTCCTCTGGGAAGGAAGGAAGGAAGGGAGGGAGGGAGGGAGGGAGGGAGGGAGGGAGGGAGGGAAGTTGGAGATATCACAGTACCTGATATCAAACTATACTACAAGTCTATAGTAATCAACAAAGCATGGTATTAACATAAAAACAGACATATAGATAAACGGAACGGAATATAGAGCCCAGAAATAAACTCACGCTTATATGGTCAATTAATATTTGACAAAGGAGGCCAGAGCATACAATGAGATAAAGATAGTCTATTCAATAAATGGTGTTGGGAAAATTGGACAAATACATGCAAAATCAAACAAACAAACAAAAAAAACCAGGCCACCTTCTTACACCATAAAGTCAAAATGGGTTAAAGACTTAATGTTTTAAGACTCAAAACCATAAAATTCCTAAAAGAAAACATGGGTAGTAAAATCTCAGACATTTCTCTTAGGAATATTTTTTCTGATATATCTCCTTAGGCAAGGGAAACAAAAGAAAAAATAAACAGATAGGACTACATCAAACTAAAAAGTTTTTGCACAACAAAGGAAACATCAACAAAATTAAAAGACAACCTACTGAATGGAAAAAGATATTCACCAATAATATATCTGATAAGGGTTAATATCCAAAATTTATAAAGAAATCATATTTCTCAACATCAAAACACCAAACAATCCAGGCCTAGCTGGGTGGGTCAGTTGGTTAGAGTGCTGTCCCAACTTGCAAGGTTGTGGGTTCGATCCTCAGTCAGGGCACTTACAACAATCAACCAATGAATGCATAAATAAGTGGAACAATAAATCGATGCTTCTCTCTTGCCTACCTTCTTGCTAAAATCAATAAATTAAAAAAAAATTATAAAACAATATAAATTTAAAAATGAGCTGAGGGCCTAAATAGACACTTCTCCAAAGAGGACATTCAGATGGCCATCAGACATATATAAAGATGCTCAACATCACTAATTGTCAGATAAATGCAAATTTAAACCACAACTATATATCACTTCACAACTGTCAGGACAACTATCATCAAATCCACAAGCACAAGTACTGGTGAAGATGTGGAGAAAAGGGAGCTCTCAAGCACTATTGGTGAAAATGCAGAATGGTGTGGCCACTATGAAAAAACAGTATGGAGATTCCTCAAAAAATTAAAAACAGAAGTGCCTTCAGGACTCTGAAGTGATTCTACTTCAGGGTATATATCTGAAGAAACCCAAAACACTAATTGGAAAGAATATATGCACCCCTATGTTCATTGTAGCATTTTTTACAATAGTCAAAATATGGAAACAATCCACATGTCTATCAACAGATGAGTGGATAAAGAAGTTGTGGTACATACATACAATGGAATATTATTCAGCCATAAAAAAGAAAAGAAACCTTACCATTTGTGACAACATGGACAGTCCTAGAGGGTATTATGCTAAGTGAAGTAAGTCAGAGAAATACAAGTACCATGTGCTTTCACTTATATTCAAAATCTAAAGAACAAAATAAATAAACAAAACAGAAGCAGACTCATAGACACAGAGAACAGATTGATGGTTGCCAGAAGGAAGAGGGATTGGGGAAGCTGGGTGAAAAGGGTGAATGGATTAAGAAGAACAAATGAGTAATTACAATATAGTCATAGGGATGTAAAGTACAGCATAGGGCATATAGTCAATAATATTGTAATAACTATAGATGATGCCAGGTGGTACTGGAAATATCAGTGGGAACACTTTGGAAAGTACATGATTGTCTACTATGCTATATACCTGAAACTAGTACATAATAATATTGAATGTGAACTGTAAATAACAAGCAAAAATTTGAAAACAACAAAATAGTAGAAGAAATAAAACAAAGAAAAAATTAATTAGCACCATAGGAGAGTAAAGTCAGATCTCAAAGTATTCCTTTTTTAAAGGAAGTACAAATATGTAATTCTTCTGTTTGTTACTGTGGTATTGGAAGCAAACTGCTTTTGTTTGTAGAATAACTACTGTAACTACGAAGACTGACCAAAGAATAAAATACAGTAAAAAAAAAAAAAAAAGAACCTGCCTTCCTAAAAGTAATAGGATCATTTAGATTCTTGGTGCCTACAGCCTTATAGGTCTACCTATTAAAAAGGAAGGAAGGAAGGAAGGAAGGAAGGAAGGAAGGAAGGAAGGAAGGAAGGAAGGAGGGAGGGAGGGAGGGAGGGAGGGAGGGAGGGAGGGAGGGAGGGAGGGAGGGAGGGAGGGAGGATGGATGGATCTGGCCTCAAATTGATGAGACTAAATTTTCACAGTAACTACATTTCATTTTCTTCATTTCTCAGTACATCTGCATTCAACTACTGTAATCCCCACTTATCTGTTGGTAATGCATTGCAAGTCACTCCAGTGAATAACTGAAACTGTAGCTAGTACTGAACCTTATATATATTATGTTTTCTCCTATACATACCTATATTAAAGTTTAATTTATAAATTAGGTACAGTTAAGAGAAAACAATAATAAAATGGACCAATTATAACTATACAGTGTAATAAAAGTCTTGGAGTGTATGTTTCTCTGATAACCGGGGGGGCTACTAAGTGGTTAAAGGGAGGACAACACCAACAGCGTGGAGCCACTGGGCAAAGGAGGAATGAAATGAATCAGATTTAATTCAGTAAAGGACTACAACCCAAGGCTTATCAAGTACGTAACTAAAACTAATAGCCTCCAGGCAAAAAGCCAGAGGATAACTGAACCATTCCTGGGCTTGCAAATCTACCCAGGAAAGTAAGGCTTGACAGTGGTGTCTAACCTGGGTCCCCCACACTCATCAAAACCCAGTACGGAAGCCACAACCAGCAGAACAGAAACAGCCACAGGGAAAATTTGGCAGACTCCAAAACCCACTGAGACAGCCAAAATGGTGGAAAAAAACCCAAACAAATCCCAGCCCTGGCCAGTTTGGCTCAGCAGTTAGAGCTTTGGCCTGCGGCCTGGAGAGACTCGGGTTCGGTTCCCGCTAAGCGCACGTACCTCGGTTGCAGTTTGTCCCCAGCCCTGGTTGGATCATGTGGGTGGCGACCACTAGATGTGTCCCTTTCACATCAATGTTTCTCTCTATATATATCCCTCCCACTCTATCTGAACAAATATCGAAAAATGTCCTTGGGTGAGGATAAAAAAAAAAAAAACAACCCAAAAAACAAATCCCAAATGAAAGAATAATAATTTGACAGAAGATTAAATAAATGAAAGGGCATTGAGCAAGATATCAGAGGGACAGTTCAGAGTAATAATCATGAGGAAGCTTAACAGCTTGAGTAAAGATATAAAAGCATTGAAAACCAAACAACTGGAAATGAAGAATGCATTACCAGATATAAAAAATACATTGGCAAAAATTAGCAGCAAAGTAGAAGAGGCCAAGGATCAGATCAGTTAATTAGAAGTCAGGGTAGAAAAAAATACCCAATCAGAGAACCAAAAAGAAAAAACAATTAAAAAACAGGAAGACAGCCAAATAGAACTATGGGACAACTAAAAACATAATAACATCTGCATCATAGGAGTTCTGGAAGAAGAAGAAAATAAGCAAGGGTTAGAGAATATATTTGAAGAAATAGTGACAGAAAACTTCCCTAACTTGATGACAAAATATAAGTACAAGAAGCACAGAGAGCCCCAACAAAGAAGAACCCAAAGATGCACACACCAAGACACATAACAATTAAAATGCCAAAAATTAAAGACAAAGAGAGAATCCTAAACACAGCAAGAGATAAGCAACAGGTTGCCTACAAAGGAAACCCCATAAGGCTATCAGCTGACTTCTCAACAGAAACACTACACACCACAAAGGGAATGGCATTAAGTAATCAAGGGCAAGAAAAACAAGGATCTGAATCCAAGACTACTCTACCCAGCAAAGCCATCATTCAAAATAGAAGGTCAAATAAAGAGCTTCCCAGAGAGCCCTGGACAGTT